GCTACCCCAATCATACCCTTCATCATTAATTGTCTTGTGTAATTAACAGTGGAGAATTTGGCAACTGCCAAAGGATGTGGGATAAAAATTCATGTTTTTTAAAGGATCTCTGTGAAAAGGCATATTAAATTCCTCAAGGAAATGCTGAATAAATGTGCTGAATAACATTGCTCTGACAGAGCCTTTACCCCCATGCTGCAGCTATTATAAAATGCTCCAATACATGGAGGAGACCATAGTCTTCACTATTTAACCTGAAAAAATTGCCTTTTCCTGATAAGCATTAGTTGGATATTAAGGGTCACATCCTACCCACTGATAATGGGCGTAGTGGCATTTTCACTTTTCTCTCTCCCCACATCTCTGCCCTGTACAGATTCTCAGTGACTTTCATGTGCTGCACCCCAAGAAACATTTTCTGTGAGGATGATCCTTCATACTACATGAAGCAAACTGATCACAGTTTCCATGGTACAATTCAGTTTCATAATCATGGACCAAGAAAGCAACACAGTAATTGAAGCATGTAAATAAATTCCAGCAAAAGGGCAGATATTGAACAGGAAACTGTTTGATGTAGTTACTGGCTGAGGTTGTTCACCTGGCAGCTTTGCTCTTTTGATTAGGACTGCCTTAAGATCCTTTGTTTTTCACCAGTCAGCCGTAGCTGTACTATGTAGTTTGTGCTTTGACTCAGAGAATTAAAAGTCCAATTATACTTCATGCCAGGACAGTGTAGAATGGATGCAATTCATTAGGTGGATGTTAAGTTCCCTTTACACACGGAGTAATGAGTGCAGGATCAAGCCTACCAAGGCCACTTGTGGCTGCATTTCAGCACCTTTGCAAATAAACAGCACTGCTATAACTCAGTAGAGCCACCAGGTGGCCCTGCATTCAATGATTGCCTATAATCTTTTCCTAAGCAAAGACGACAGTGCAGCTTTCAATGCAAAACCAGACAGATCACAGGAAAAAGGAGTGTGCATAAGAAAATACTCTTCCAGCATCTGGGAAGTAATCATTGGCTGGTTTACCCAAGCAAATATTTAAAATATTATTAAACATTTTATATATGAATAAGTAATAGTGTGGTGAGGTCTAAGGGATATGTATTAGGAGGAATTTGAGATGGCTGAATTACACAGGACTGACAAAGGCAGAATTATGCAGGTCACATCAAAGACATTTCAGTTTCATCTGGGGTGGATTTGGGGTGGTATGCATAGCTCGCTCACTGCTTTAATGCTCTTGCATAATTCAGCCACCCAAAATTCATGCCAATAAAAGCCATATACCACACCACATTAGAGACAACTTTTAGAGGAGTTTTTTTAGACTTTCACTGGAACTTTGTGTTGTCCTTGGGCATGCCTTTACTGTAGTGTTAGTTTGAGTTCTCTTTGCTCATTTTGAATTAGCTTAGCACAAGTCAGAGTAAAGAACTGCAAAATAGCACTGGACCTGCACAGAAGGATTGGAGTATCAGGAATGAGTTGCAGTATTACTATACTGCATGCCAAGAACACTCAAGTTTCAGCCAAGCTCCCACAATAGACCAGCTAGTTTGAGTTAAGAGTACTACATAACATGAGCTGAAGATTTTTGCATTTCGACAAAGAGTCAGGTCACAGATGACATTTGAGTTACCATAAGCTAACACTGCAGTGGAACAAGCCCTTAGTTACCCATAGGTTCCCCCCTAAATCACCTCTACACCAATATATTTGAATGACCTAAAATAACTTTTTTATATAACAGTTCAACCATCCTGAAGCCTAAAAACTCTGGATATCTTTAGAGAAAAAAGGAGTTCTGTACCCCATTGACAAGCTATGAATCACCCCTTTTTAATGTCCCAAGACTCCATGTTTGTCATAGCTATTAAGGACCAGATTTACCTATGCACATCAACTATTTTGTACTGATATAATGCTATAAAGTTGCCGTAAATCCAGTTTAGCCAGCTAAACTGTAAAAAAGCTTTCAATCTACCAGCTAAGAACATAGCAGCCAGGGTATATTGGAGCAGGATAGGAAATATCTGAGCCAGTTCTGATGTGACATTAGCATCTTGATCTCCAGTGATCCCTAGCTAAATAAAAGCACCTTGAGGGGTAGCACTAGCCAGGAGAACCGAGGCTATTCTAAGTAGGAGCTAAAATAGCCCCTGGTTTTTCCCAGCCCTCTTTACCCCTATATCATTTCTGGTCCTATGCTAGGCAGAGGTCATTTCTAACTAAGGATCCAGTCCATAACATGCAAATGCAAGTGGATCTCAAAATCCAATTTCCCATTGCAATCTGGGATACATAGAATAGTGGTTTTCAATTTCTCTAACTCATATTATTGACACTGACAGGGAAGCAGGTGTGTATCCTACCCAAATGAGACTAAACTGCTGTGTAGTCAGTCACCCTTCTTACTTCACCCTGTGACCATCCATCAGAACACAGATGCCCTCACTTGATGACCATGATCTCTGCGTACATGTTATGAACCTTTCTCACCCAAGGAATCTTCCTTCTGCCTTGCTCCCTTCTCCTGTTCCTCTCTAGCTACTGAGCATTTCAAGCAGCAAAATTCCAGTCTTGTTGAGCAGTATACCTGGTAGGAAAAGGGAGCTGGCAGAGGTCCCTGTTTCTAGCAGGTCAATAAAATCTGGTATCATCACCTGAAACCAAAAAGATGAACAGGATAAACTGTACTCATTCCAGAAGCTTTGCTAAATCCAGCTAAAGAACTGGTATCAAGCTTACTTATAGGGTAATATGAAGTAGATAATATGCTAAAATATTCTTTTAAAGTAAAACAACCAAATGTATTACCTGGTTGGGATCCTGAAGTCGACATTGCTGCCAAATTTATAAGCCACCTGTAAAGCTGTGGAGCCTACCACTCTCTGGATAACTCCTCGGGAGGCAGCTTTATCTATCTGGAACTGAGAAATCAGGTCATAACCTACAAAAACCAAACACACACATCCAGAATTTTCATTTGACCACTGAAGATCACAAAGCTGAATGTAGCCTGATCACTTCTAAAAAGCAGTCTTTTAACTTGTAAAATGAAGTTCCTACTTGCCTGGCAAGTCATCTTGGCCAATCCTGATTGTTGGGCAAAGATCGGTGTTTTGGTTAGAAGCAAAAGTGACTGGAAATCCTGCAAAAAAGAGAAAACTTGTAATCCTTTTTCATCACACTGCCTGAAATTCAACTTGAGATCTGTGGCCTAAAAGGATAGCATCTGCTAATAAAGGTTCTCAAATTCATTAATATCACTTGACTTTGTTTACTTTTACATTTTTTCTTAAATCTTTAATGTATAAAGATGCTGTAATTCTTCCTGCTCCAGCTCTACTTTTGAGAAGCAGCTGTCCCAGCAAAAAGAAGCTTGTGATATATGGAGGCACTGGTTCATAAACTCTGGTGGTTTAGGCAAACTTAAATAAATGCTAGTTAGCTGAATCTACATCATCCCTAATTTAAAGCAAACTCAGACAAACTTTATGCCAGCTAAGGTAGCTGTTGAGAAGTGATGCTATTGGCATCCCTTCCCCCCTCCTTGATATTCCAGGTATTCCCAACCTCATCTTTGCCATGTTTGATCACATAACAAGCCCTGGGGAAGCATTGGGTGGGGGCCAGAGGGACTTACAGGGTCTTTTTATGAACATGAACAAGCGTGTAAAAGAAATTCTCTTGGGAAGCTAAACACAGAGCTCAGTTTTTAAAATACTATCTGTATAAAGGCATCACTGAAAGAAACCCCAGCCCCCAATCTTAAAGATGGAAAGCAGAAAAATAAACATTTACTCAAAATCATTTAAGAGTTTTGCCCAAGCCCAGCACCAAGGCAATCTGGAAAATTTTAGTAGATTCTGGATAGGGAAGAAAGGAGTGTACAAGTTGGAAGGACATGCCTTCCCAGCCTACAGAGAGCCTCTTGTATTCTGCAAGGACTCAACCATAAAAGTGAGTTTCCTTCTCATAGCATAGACGTAAAGGAAATGGTGAGTTAACATTTTACACCTTAGAAATGGCCTTATTCTATATTATTTAAACAGATATGTGGCTGACATCCAGTCATTTATCCATCCTAGAGTGGACCTAGTGTTCTGCCACATCTACCAGAAGAACATCTCTAACTAGAGGTGCAGAAGAACGCATTCCATACCTACCATCTATTTCCAGACTATGATCCTAACGTTAGAAATGTACTTATACCCTACTCTGTTTAGAAAGCAGGAAGATAAACCAGAATGACTGCGAAACCGTGGAAAGAAATAAAGTGTAAAACCTAACTGATAACCCAAAATAACAGTCTCTCTCACATACGCATTTATTTAGTTCCATAATTAAATGAAGTTAGTAACTAAGTACAGAGTAAATTGTGATGGTCAAGGTCGCAGTGAAATACAATACAGATATAGGCTATACCCTTACTTGTTTGATGCTGAACAGTAGCTGACACCAAAGACCCCAGAAAACTACATATGTACAAGAAAGCTGGAAGTTGCCTGTGAAAAAAATTAAACATGAATTTACAGTTCCTGATAGATTCTATGATCAACTTTCATCTCATGGTCATGCACATTAAATACATAAAAACATGAATTAGAGATTTACTAGCACAGTTGGCAAGAAAACCTTTTTAGAGCAAAGCTTTTTATCTTTGTCAGTGCAACAAAATATGTCTATGATGTTGTCTCAGTTTCTATATCTTACATATAAAACTGTCATGAAAATAAAAATAGAGAAGACAGCTGGTAAAAACAATTTTAAATGCTCTCATTTGTTAACTACTAATCTCTTACAAGTGTCCCTTGTTCTCTTACCAGTTGCTTTTCATTTTCTCTCCTGGTTTTTTTCAGCTCTCTCATGTGAGTATTTGGGGGGTATACTTATGCCCTGTGATCTCCTGTCATTAGCCCCCTCAAAGAAAACAGAAAAAGATGAAAGCTGTGTTCTTTCTCCCTGTGCAGGGCTCCAGGAGAGAATGAGGCTCAGGCTGCTGGGACTGTTTTAATTCTGAGGAGAAAAGGAGGTGGGGGCTAGACAGCCATCTGTGTCTTGATGGGGTTGAGGGCGGATCTCATGAATTAGCTGGGATATAAAAAAGCCAACGAGAGCAGAGAAAAGGCTGCAGTTTATGCCAGTCTCAGGGTAGAGACATATAAAGTCAGGAACATGATTTAAACAATACCACCCATCCAGGAATAGGGTCTGCTGGGTGGGGGAAAACAGGTGAAAGAGAAAGATGCATTTAAGAGTCTTGAGGAAGCAGGTGACCATACAATAGTGTGTATATTTTCACAATTTGGATTTAGGAAAGGTCACAGTATACCTAAGTTTAGAAAGAAGAGCCTTTCACTTCTCACTGGTTCCCTGTTAGACTATCCTAGCTTGATCCCAGAGATGTAGCAGAGTCAGGCTTCTAAATAGAAATAATCATTTTAAAATCTATTTAATAGCTTAAACTCAGGTAGAAATACACCCTGGCCATGTCTGTATGAGATTCTGACTGTGCAGTCATTACTGTGCAGTCATTTAGTGGTTGTTTGTACAAGTACTAAATGACTGCACAGTAGCTGGAGTTACTGTGTAGGAGTGTCGCCAAACAGCTTTTTCTTGATGCTGACTGTGCAGTAGCCCAAAACTATTGCACAATAGCATTGCATCAGGCTTTCTGCCACATGACACTGCTGTGCAGTAGTCACGGACTACTGTGCAGTCAGCTTCTCGTGTAGACACGGCCATGCTTGTGTAGACTCGTGTCCTGTGCCGCACTGGAGAGCTGCTGCTTCCAAGCGGACTATTAATTGAGTCTGCTCTGCACACAAGCTGAGGTGGACTATGCTGTGCTACATGCAGTTGTAAAAGTGGTGAAATGTGCATCAGCACACAGAAAATGGTGGTGGTGCACTTTTGAACTAAAGCACCTATAATGTGTTTTAGTTCAAAAGCATGCCGCTGCCATTTTCTCAGTGCTGACACACATTTCACCACTTATACAACTGCAAGTGTTGCAGCACTGGGCACTTTTCAAAGCACCTGGCGCTGAGGCACTTACATGTGTAAAAATGTCCTATGTAGCTAACAAGCCTGCAGCTTCTTGGTCCTGGCTTATGAGCTTGCTGTTCCTAGAGATAATTCATTTGATATGTTCTCAGACACATACATAAATGACACATGCCCCTGGAGGCTGTGGGGGGCACGGCAACTGCCCACAGGTGATGGAAATGGTGAGCATGGCAGCGGTGAGTGGGGAGCTCCTGCAGGCAGCCACGGCAACAGCAGCAACAGGGGCGGGGGGGCGGGGGGCACTGATGGGCAGTCGGCAACCACCCGCAGAGGCAGCCGCCAATCTCGGGGGGGCACATACACCCATGTGCACCCCCTACACATTGCCAATAGACACATATAAACCCATTCAAATTTGCTTTTATAGATGTAGAAAGTGAAAAAGATTAAAGTATATATGCATGAAACACCTGAGGAAAAAAAAGTGAGCAGCCAGAAGACTGGTGTTTACCACTAATCAGAAAAAATTGGTTGATTGGGGAAAGCAGGGTCTCATTTGACCAGTATATGGCAATATGACTTTTTCGTACATTGATCAATATAGTCCCATGTTCATCAAATTATCAGTTTTCATTTAATTAAAAAGTATGTAGTTCCAAGCAAAATATATTTTTTTAAAAATCAAGTGCAATCTACTGCCCACCTCCCCAATCACAGCTTCTATCATGGCGATCCTAATAGCCTCAGTAAATGTATGGAGCCTGATAAAGAAAATGAAATGGGACACTATATGCCAGTGCCTGGACTAGTTGCAAGCAGATATCATGTGTGTTATGGAATGTGGCTTGTCCAGCTCTAAAAATTATGCTTTGTTTGAAAAATGATGGCCACATGGCTTCTCCTTGGGGTCAGTAACTAATGACAATAGATCAGCAGGCATGGCTATCTTGCTGCAAGGAGAAAAAGTGAGACCTCTACAGCATAGGGAGATTACTGCAGGCAGGCCATTACAAGCCACCTTTGAAACAAGGGGAGGGAAATTTGTCCCAGCAAACAAAGAAAAAAGCCAGGTGTGTCTTTCTAGAGAACATGAGTGTGGCAAAGGCCAGTACCCAGCCAGTGGTGATCACACAATATTTCAATGACATCATCAAAGAGGGAGACAGAATAAGGAGAGGACAAAAGACAGGCTTGGACAGATTCTCCAGGCAGTTGAAGAAGCTTGCCTGTGACCATAGCCTGATGGATGTGAGCAAGGGAGCCCAAGGACCCAGGGAAAATTTCACCCAGGTGGACCCCATGGGACAGACAAGGTCACACATAGACTTCGTCTTCCTTCCTGCAGAGTGGACAGTAGTGAACGTCAAATCCACACCTGTCAGATCACTGCCTCCTGACAGCGAAAGCAGAGATGGGAGGTAGCCCAAGAGGAGCAGGGGTGTGTGGAAGTTGAATGTGAGCCTCCTGGATGATGAAAAGATTCAGTGGGAGTTCATGAAGTGCTATACAGGATGGAGGATCCTCAGAGCTGGGTACTGGAACCGCAGGGTAGTGGGCCAGTGTTAAAAACAGAGCAGGACCCTTCTTCCAACAGGCCAGCAGGAGGTGAACTTTATTCTAGAGGAGGTACTATGAATGCCTAAACTGCAAGTTGCAGAGCCTGCACAAGCAGATAGCCTGAGGCTGGGATGTGAAGGACACCAAGCAGGAGATAAAAGCTCAGACTGGAGCCTGGTACAGGGAACAGGGCCAGAGCCTCTGGGTGGAAGAGTGGAAAGAGTGATCTGCTTACTTCAGCAAGTTAAGGAAAGCCAAGAGGGAAGCCATGACCAGCTTGGTAGATGGTGTGGGAGTGGAGCACCAGTTGAGTGAAGGGATGCTAGGCATGGCAGCAGCCTTCTACCAGTATCTGTACACAAATGCCCAGAGGACCCAGGGGCCTGCAGGAGGTCACCCAGGTCCTTGTGGGGGGATGAGAACCAGAAGCTGATGGAGGTGTGGCCACTGGAGGAAGTCACCGAGACTTTCCACAGCTTCAAGAACAGTAAGACTCCTGGAGAAGATGGAGTTCAATGTCACCTTCTAGGACCAGGTAGGCCTGGACCTGCTGGAGGTATATAGAGAGCAGCTACAGGAGGGCCACCAGGGCTGGGATGCATCAGGGCCTCATAGCCCTTCTTTATAAGAAAGGGTGAGGGAGGATTTGAAGAACTGGAAACTCATAACTTTGACTATAAACTGATGGCTGAAGTCTTGTCTGAGTGCTTTAAGTCTGTTATAGGTGCTTTGATGAGATTCTGGGATCAGCAAAGTGAAGATGCCTGGGGGAAGTGAGGCAGAAACAAGGGACATGGATAATCTCAATGTCCTGTGCAGTGACAAGTGGTCACTGGAAATAGTGTAACAACACACTCTGGTATATGGAGTGGCAGCAAGAGCCAAGCCTAACGTGACCAAGAGTACCTGCCTGGTACTGGGCAAATTTGGGGACCTGTCAGCTCTGGGGGTATCCATCCCCCGGAAGGGGATAAAGAGCTTCAGGGTGGAGTTTGACCCAGAACTGAACAGGCAGAAGGCATGGGAAAAGACCCAAGCCAAAATTAAGTAGACTGAGAGACTGTGGAGTATGGTCCACACATCAATGAGGGGGTGCATGGCACTCATCAGGGCGGTGTTGTTACCCGTGCTTCTGCACACCATGCTGGTCTTCCCTGACTCAGAGCAAGTCATCCAACCTGGTCATGTACAGAGTGCACTGAAGCAGTTTTCTTCATAACTGTGATCGATAAAAGAGATGGTGATAGGCATGTGGGCATGCAGGTGCACGGTTGTAGCTATTGTAACCTGGATGATACTTAGCTTCTACACGTGAAAAATTATAATTTATAAATTTTCCATGAATAGAATCTAATTATTGGGAGGTCATCTTATAATCAGGGTCATCTTCTATTTGAGTGGATATGGTATTTTCCATTTATCCCAAAGAAAAAGTGGAGTGGGCACAAAACACACAAATTTATTTTAAAAATGTTGTTCTCTGCTATAAAGTGGCTCTAAGTAAAGATACTCCAGTGTACCTGTCATGAGCCTGCTACCACTGCCAATTTCACTCCAGAGTGGCCATTTGCACAATATAAACTGCCTCCCCTGCCATCTAATGGCTGGGTGCTAGAATAGCATCTATTTATCTATTTCAAAAACCCTATAGGTGCCTGTAACAGAGAACTCTGGCCCTGTTACTGGGCGCTGGTGCTGCCCGTCTAAGGGCAGAGTCTTTATAACCCAGGCAACCAGCAGAGCAGGGGTTAAAGGACAGCCAGGTCAGCTGACTAGGGCCTCACGTGACCATAAGCGGACTCAGGCAACAGTTGTATAAACCCTAGGATCAAGCCAGTCAAGGAGGCGAGTCCTGAGAGTCATGGAGTGCAGAGCTCCTGTCAGCAGAAAGGCGGGGCCCCTAAATCTACAACGAGGCTGGAAGAGCAGCTCTTCAGGTCTGGGAGCAACAAAGAGCTACCTGGTAGGGTGGGGAAGAGAGAAAGAGAGAGAGGAAGAGAGACTTGCTAAGCAGGCAAGTAGCCTTCATTTTTTACGTTAATACCAGTGGCTTGGGTTTGAGACTAGAGGGGTAGTTTGGAGGTCCCATTAGTGACCTTGGGGCACATGATTTTCTTGGGCCCTGCTGGGGGCAGATTCAAGGCAGAGTGGGGACTGGGGCCCAGAAGCTAGGCCTAGAGCAGGGAGCCTGGGCTGCGGGACCAGCCAGAGTACAGGAGTGGAAACCAGGGAAGCTAAAACCCCAACAAAGGAAGGAGGGCCTAGGGTGGCCTGGAAATGAAGGGACAAGTGTCCTACCCAATTGGTCACTCAAAGTCTGTGAGGCATGGGGCATAGTGTAGGGAAGGTATGGAGCCATGC